AGAGAGAGAGAGAGAGACAGAGCGCATCTTTCGCGAAGAGTGCTCAGTGCCGTCGTGCTGGCAAGCCAGCTCTGGCATCGATCTCTTTCACACCAAGTGGCTGCCACAAGCTGGTTGAAGGTGGTCCTCGCAGTGAAGAAGAGGTCCATCATCCTGAGCCATGGGCTCTGGGCCGTGCAGTGTGCCGCGGTCAACGCCACAACATCGCAGACCCTTCGAGGCTCGAGGAGGCGCGCGCGCAGCCACTTTAATCTACCGCCGAAGCACAGCTCCAGGATCATGGCCACGAGGTAGAAGCCCAGGTAGGCCTTCTGCTTGTGCTCGGTGTACCTCAGAAGGACAAAACGGTGGTCTTCTCCGCTTCCCACCGTGAGGCTCCGAGAAGGCGAGGAGCCAGAGATTCAAATCCTCGGCGACTTTGTCGCTGAAGAGGTAGATGATCTGGTTGGCCTTTTCAGGGCCACGGCTGCCTTTTGCCCCCACTGCGCTGCTACGCAAACGGTCTTCGGAACTCTGCGGTTCAGCAAAGACCCCGGCAATGATGGAGATGAGCATCAGAAACCTTCCTGCGGAGACGCGGCAGCTGGATACAGATCTCTGAGCCCGAATGGGACTCGCGCTTCTGCCCCTCTACAACCATTTGTTCTGCAGGCTGCTTGTCGCAGTGGGTAGCTCAGCCAAGCAGAAGCAAGATAAGCCTTTCAGGGTTTTAGAGGAGAAGGCTCAGGCAGTTCAAGTCTGACAGTTGCCCTGCAAATTCGAGAGGCTTTGGGCATGGTCGCCTTCTAACCAACCCCGAAACACCGGTCCGTTTAAACTGTTGGGCTTCCCGGTCTCGGCGTAGAAAGACAGGACCTGAGATCATGAGAGACACTTGGCTACTACTAGTAGTAGGCACTGGGTCCGGGTATGAGAGCCGCGCGTACCGCGCATAGGGGTACTTCAGAACGTACATGATCAAAAGGATCACGGCCTGAACTCCAAAAAAATATGAGAAACCCTTGCGCTTTTTTCGCGCAGCCCTCAGGATGGAGCGGTCAGCTCCAAGATGGCGCGAAGGCACCTCCACGCAAAGTCGCGGCTCCCGCCTCCGAGGCAGAGGAGCAGAAAAGGAGAACAGCACAGCTTTGAAGGGGGCCTTGGGGGGGAGGTTGGGGGGGGTCCGTCCTCCGAAGGAGGCCCAGCGCACGGAGTCCGGCTCGGCTTCCGAGGGCCTCGAAGAGAGAGCTCGGACTTCTTCAGCGGAGAGCTGGAGAGGTCTCTTCTTGCTTTTCTGTTTTGTTAGGGCAGGAAAGCGGCTTCAAGGAGAGCTTGCGCTCTCCGAGACGAAGACCACCTCGGCTCGGTTCTTCGAGGGCATAAAAACTTCTCTCAACATCTCACGGAGAGCCCAAAATACACGTAGCTATGCTGGTAGAGGCTTTTTGTGGCTCGCGAGTGTCCTCCTGCACACGGCCCTGCACTTGGAGGCTCGGGTGTCGCTTCCAGTGCATTCTGAAACCGCCACGGACCACTTCGGGTCGACACAGGGTCGGGGCTAAGGGGACTCAAGCTACACGGGGGCTCTTGGGTTTGCTGGTCTTCGAGAAGCCTCTCTGTGGCTCGGCTCAACCCGCATCCGCAGCTTGCAGAATACAGGTGAGTGGAGAAGATTGTCTCGGTGAAACTTGAACGCCCAAAAGTCCACAGAGCCCTCTTTTTGGAGGCGAAGGCACAGAAAATATGCAAGAAGCAGCCTTTGTGACATAAAGGATCAGAGGACTGACGAATCCGACAGGCACAGGGCCCAAGGAGGCACTCCTGCCGGCATGGCCTGTCCTCTCTGACCCCAAAAGGCCGCCCCAAAAAACAGCCGCCCTCAGGCAGAGAAGCGGTCCGGCGGGTCGCGTGACAAAGTGGCAAACCTGGGCCCCGCGTGGCACAGAGAAGGCGGGCAAAAAAGCCGCAAATGGCAGAGAAGGGCCCCCCCCTTTCCCCCGCACCAGCAGAGGCTGGGCCAAGCAACGAGAAGCTGTCCTCCACCTCGGCTGATGGAGGTGAGGTTCGGGTTGGTATGTGGTGTGCGGGTGGGGGAGAACTTTTGGGCCAGGAAGCATGGCTCGTCCTTTCGATCAGAGTCGCCAAAGCATCGCTCCTCGGCTGGAGCTCTGGAGCTCTGAGGCTGACTTTTTGTTTTAAGGCCGAGCTTCATTTGATGCTGCTGTTCTCCCAAGGCGTGAATTTGCTTCACCAGCGCATACCTCAGAACAGGCGTTTCGGCCCTCGAGAGCTCGCAGAGCTCGCAGAGCTGCAAGGAACACAAAGAGAGAGAGAGAGAGAGAGAGAGAGAGAGAGAGAGAGAGATGAGAGTATATAGAGGTATGCTTAGAGGTTTGCGTAAGTGTGACACGAAGGACTTTCAGACTTTCGGTGCATCGCCGGAGTGCAAGTCCACCGACCTGGCTGCGCCGTGGAGTTGCATGCAGCGCCTCAGAGCGAGCCCCGCGGAGAGACACACTAAAAGCGACCCCAAAAAGGGAGGCCCAAAGATGCTCCGAAAGCTTAAGAGCTGCAGAGCAGCTCCGAGAACTCTTCCAAGCTGATGGTATGATCTCCATCCACGTCCAGGCTATCGAAGAGGGTCCAAGCCTTGGAGCGCCAAACGGGGTGCACGTGAGCATTGTGAGAGCAGTCCTATTCATGATGACTCGAGCTGCGAAGTGGTGGGAGACTTCTGCCGACTTTGCAGACCGCGGATTAATCACAAACGGTGTCCTACGGATCTAAAGATCAAGACAGGGGGGCATCCACGGCATTGATTTCGATGGTTTGGAAGAAAGCCTTCATCTCTTCATCCTCGAACATCTGCTCGAACTCGATGATTGTGATCTGTCCTTGCCCCGAAGAATCCATCCTCGACCATATCTTCGATACCAGCTCCTTGAAGCGCTGCTTGTTCTGAAGCAAGGTCTCGTGATCCCTTTCACGAGTCTTGATGGCCGAGTTTACAAAGACTCCGGTCATGACATTCAAGACAGCGAAGCCACTAAAAGCGATGTAGCTGTGAAAAAGTTGGACCCAGAACCAGCCAACTTGAGCCAGTGAGTTCGCGGCAATCTCCCAGTCCAAACCACCCAAAATCGCACGGAAGAGCGTCTGGCAAGACAGGTACACCCCACCGAAGTACTCCAAAAGCGTCGCATCCTCACTAAGGTCGTATCGGATGCCATAGTCCAACGCAGCATCTGCGAAGAGAATGCCGAAGCTGTAGATCACCAACCCTAGAAGCAGCAACGCCCACGCGAGCTGCCGGGTCGTGTCAACAACCGACATGACCTTAAGATTAGAGTTTAGGGTTTAGAGTTTAGGGTTTAGGGTTTAGGGGTTTAGGGGCTTAGGGAAGGCACCAAGGGAGTTCTGAGAGTTCTCTACCAAGCGGCAAGGGCACGCAAGGCTGAGAGGAACTTGAGCAAGCGGACGGAACGGACCACCTTCGCTCTAAGCTTCTGAACAGACTCTTTCTTATTTGTTTAAAGGCTTAGGGGTTTAGGGTTGAGGGATGACGATGAGACCATGAACGGATCCTTCATGGAATTGTCTGACCTCGGCATACGCCGGATGTTCCCGATGTGACGAAGAAGATCGTGCTTCTGAGTTTTGCGGCTAGGCTTGTTATAAACTCCTAACCAAGAGGCTCTGTTTCTGGCAACTGCGGAGACACGGCAGTACGAAGGCGGATTGTCCATCCATACGAGAGCTTCTGGGGAATGCGCTTCTCGCATTTCGGTGGCGCTAGGTGTTGAGTAAAAGGAGTGTTGCACATCTGAGTGTACGGCAGGGCGATCGGAAGAGAGTGTGATCCAAGCACAAGTAGGCTTCCACCAAACAGGACTCTGCCCAACGGAGCTTCGGATGCCCTACTCATCATGGCCTCTTTTGTCAATGGCGTCGGTATCTGTACTTGGGGCGGTACCTCTTGATATGGAGCTTGCGAGTCCTGCTATTGCGGAGGAGGTCATGAATTCGAGACAAGGGCTTCGAACAACTGTTGGAAGACAACGCCGGAGGGCTCTGCCATCTTCTCCGAAAAACGAAAACTCGAAGGCAAAATCCACAAACGCGCAACGCGAGGAAAGCAGCTCAAACCCACATGTGCAAATGCGAAAAAGGGGCGTGACTGAATACCTTGAGCCTCGTCCGTAAGAGTATTGAACTAAATGATGATGATGAGGAGGATGAGGATGGGGATGAGGATGATGATGATGAGAATGATGAGGATGATGATGATGATGAGGCTGCTGCTGATGACAGCGGTAAGTCACGAACATATGTCAAATGTGACGTAACCGTCTGACACCTAACCAACCCATACGCTTCCAATGGTTTGGGCTTCGGGTTCAGTAAGCTGTCTCCAGGCAAGTTTGGTCATAAAATGGCTCTGCTGGGATGTTGCTATTCAACAGCCCGCCTGCAGTAGCCTTGTCACCTTGAAGACTCGCACGATTCGGAGATTGCTTGAAGCTCCTCCGTCTCCCCCCTCACTTGGGGCACTTAGGTCCAGAGCTAGCTCCACCCAAGCGGGAAGGACCACAAAGACATCCAGCCAATTCCACGCCCAGCCAGGACCACAAAGGTACACGACAGGTCCCGCAGCTGTGATGCGAATCACCATCTCGATCGTAAAGAGTATGGCATAGGCCACATGAACGATGATCCACACAGTTTGGTCTTGCCTCGGTTCCGGCCGAAAACTGGGAAGAATGCCTTGCATGAAAGCTTGTGCCCTTTACACACACACACACACATGCCTTTCAATGCCTCTATGAAAGTCCACCCAATTCTGGAACACGGTGCGAGTCCAGTACTCGGCTGGCATTCCACTCCAGCTGAAACCCCAGGACGAGTGAGTTCGAGACGATGACAAGGGCAAAGAAGACGTTGAAAGGCAATGATGCGGCCAGCTGCTGTGCAGACCTTCGAAGGGGTCGGAGGCGATCCTGCAGGCAGTCATTGCCCATGCCATCACCTTCGCTGTCCGCGTGCATCTGCTTCATCTCCTCCACGCGGTTGCCCTGCTCCTGTGCCGGTCACAAGTCACGTTGTGCCATCATCTGCCATCATCCATCAGGGGGTTTCCGAAAATAGGGGACCCTAATATAGTACCCTAAATAGTAGGATCCTTTTTATACAAGACCCCAAAATGCGGTACCCCTTATTTTCGGAAAGTCCCATCAGGCTGCACATCTTCTGAAAGCATATCTTGGTCTTAGAGACTTGGAAGGCCGGGTCTCCCCCGTCGACTCTCTACGGTTGATGGTATAAATCCTTAGCATTACCCATAGTATAAGGACTATACCATGATTCCCATAGTTTAGGGTCTCTGGAGGTAATGCAGGATTTGTATCATCAACAGTAGGTGTTACGAAGGCGAGTTACAAGATCGAGGCCCAAGCAGCAGCTCAGGTTCGTCAGGGCAGTGTCACAACAGCAACTGAGCCGAAGCAAGATATGCACGCCGTAAACAAGAAACTACTGCTGAGTCGCCCTTTTATTCGAAGGGTGAAGTGAAGCGCTGAGGTGTCCTTCGCAAGCTCGTAACGACTCGTAAAACTTCGCTTCGCTTTGGCATTGGACTCAGTGTTGGGGGCGATCGGTGCCGGCACCGCCTGAGCCTAAGCCACGAGGAGACTTCTGCAAAAAATGGGCCTTACATGGAGCTGAGCCCCTGACCTCCGGCTTCTTCTCGCTCGGATTCTCCGCGATCTCAAAGAGATCCATGGAGGAGGTACTGAGAGCCCTGAGCTCTTTTCGGCTCTCTCCCCGCCGGCTCCTCATCCAAGCTCAAACTTGAACGAACGCTTAGAATGCTTAGAATCTACAGATCTTCGGCGACGCAAAGCATCACGCTCGATGCCACCAGTTTCGCTTTGCCAGTCCGACCGGCAAGGAGAAACCGGAAGCTTCTAATGCAAAAGCTCGGACAAGCAAACCTCTGATCCTGGGAAGAACGATTCCTAGGATCAAAACTGCAAAAGGCTGGCTTAACGCAACGCCTTGCAAAGGCGAAACCTCGCACGGCACATTTTGCTTCGCTTCACCAAGAGCCGCTCTGCTGCGGAAGCGGTGGTTTTCAAGAAACTCAAACCCTCAGCTCACATGTGAACGCATGCATCAACAGGTCAATCGCAACCCTGCACTTTCACACTGGTATAACCATCTCTTTGACCTGTTGACTTCTGCGATCCTGTACGTTTCTTGTGAGCGACTTCATGAAATAACATGCCCAGACTGATCTCTGATGTCAGACCCTCTAGCAGTCTTGGTGAGCCCATCAGCAAGTTGACAGCGCGTCGGAACCCACATCAGCCTCGCCTTCCCGGGGTACTCCTTCTGGTCCCGGGTGGTTAAAAGCTGTCGCAACAGCACAGCATGGACAATGTTCCCCTTCTCTCCTATGTGCTGGCCATCTTTATGGATAGTATCGTAGATACTCTTACAGTCCGTGACCATTGTGAGCGGAACTAGTTGCTGCCATCCATCGTCTTCCACGGAGGCCATGATTTTCGATCCGTAGTGCACTTCAGACACCAACACTTGAGCGAACCTCGACATGTTGTGTCCCATGATTGCCGCATGGGTTTCCGCGGCGAAGGATGACTCAACAATTCGACGATTCGTGGCACTCCTCCAGTCGATGACATTGATGTGAACTCGACCCTCTTGCTCTAGCTCTCCCCTCTTGACGAAACCGACAACGGCACCTTTCTGAGAGTAGACAAGTTTCTTATCAAGAGTGCTTTGAAGAATGTCATCACACTGCTTCTCATCAATCTCGGCCCCTACACTACTGTAGAGCCCCGCATCGTGATACGTGACGAGCTGAGCGTCCGGCCCAAGTGGTCTGAAAAGGATCTCCATCCGATTCCTAACAACCTCTCGAACCGCTCTGTTAGCTCTCAACAAGTCAGCGACGCGGAGATCAGAAACCCGTTTCTGCAGTTGATTGCACTCAAAAGCAACATCGGGCCTAGATTGAACAGCGAGCCACTGGAGACTTCCAACGATCGACCGATAGTCTGTGAGCTCCTCTTGATTAGCCCTGGCATCCAACTGCTTTGCCCTTGAGGACTCAATCCTCATAGGCTGCAAACGACCGTCGATGAAAGCATTCTGGGCAAGCGTGACACATGTCTCGCCGTCTTTGGTCATGACCTTAACCTCCTTCCCACAGTAGGTAACCCCGCCTTGTTGCTCGCGGACCTGCAACCAAGTACCGAAAGGGAAGCGCTTGGTCAAGCTCTCCTCGACTCGCTTACCCAACTCGCCACCGTCATGACAATACATGACATCATCGACGTGAACGATCATAAGTCCCCTGAGACGGCTATCCTCGTCTCGCAGAACAAACATCGCTGGATCTGTCCGACACTTACTGAAGCCCAGTTCCTGCTCAAGGATCCTAGCCAACTCGTTGTACCAAGCCCTTGGAGCATCAGGCCTACCGTACACAGGTTTCAAGAGCTTCAGCAATTGCCCTGGTTTCAGTCCTTTGAGACCTTGTTTGGGTTGTCTCATGTACATGTCCGGCTTGCCTGACAAAGGAGCACCCTGCAAGAAAGCATTGGAAATATCTCCGATGTACCAGTCCTTTGTCCAGCCCAAACTCGTAACCAGATGAAGGAAAACCATAGTGGACACCCTTTCCACCGTAGGGGAATCCACCTGCACCTGACCCGTCCTGCTGTCTGGGCAAAGATGACCTTGCAAACATAACCTGGCCTTCGCCTTGACTGGGAGTGGATTCCCGCTGTCGTCGAGAAGCCCAGCATTCTTGTTGAGGAAAACATAACGACTAGGCAGTATGCGATCAGGAAGCGTTTCTTCGATCGTTTTGCTATCTTCAGGACTCAAGATTTCACAACTGTCGTAGTCAAGCCATGATTTCCACTCTTTCTGCTCGGCCTCTTCGTAAAGATGCTTATCTTGAGGACGAATGTTGTTGTAGGGAATCTCTTTCTCAAGCATACGTTTAAGCTTAGTTTTGCTTTGAGTCGGCTGATGAACAACATGCACTGGGGCACTCTCCGGCATGCGCTTGCGCCTTTTCAAAGAGGCCGGAACATCATCCAAGCAGTGATCTTTTCGAGTCCTGCTTTGAAAGATCGTGATGAGTCCTGCCACGGGTCCCTGAGGAATAAACTGATGTTGATCTTCAAGTTCAGCCCATCTGACCTCCTGCTCAACACATTCCCATTTCCCATGTGCATAAACCCACGATGTCCGAAAGGGAAAATGCTCACCCGGGTAACGAGGCTCCGGCGTCCTAAAGGCCCATGCACGATGAGACACCAGAACCGGGCTGCCAACACTGTCAACATGCCAACCTATGTGATGCGACATATTAGCATGTTCTTCACTCAACCCGTCAGTTGCCCAGGTGTCTTCGTCCATCATGAGCTCATCCGTGAGGTCACGATTCAGAGGCTGTGTTTCGACATCCATTGGTTCACCCTGGGGGTCCTCCTGTCCTATCAGGTCCTCATACGTAGCCTCTTTAGGGATCTTCTTGAAAAAACTTCTCATCGCCTACAGCCTCCCGCAGATGTTCTCCGGCCACCAGAAAACACCTACCTCCAACAGCGACCCAAGCATTGCGATCCTGCAGTCCAACCACATAAGCAGGCCCTAACCACTTACTCTGGCTCTCACCCTTCTTCTGGTTTCCAGCTCTCCAAAAGAAGACCAACTGACCAATCTTGGGAATCGGAAGCTTTCGCGTGCGATTGTGAGCCGTCTTCAACAACATCTGCCGGGCCTGGCTGCGAACGAACTCCATCTTCGCATGATATCTGTATCGCACACGAACAGCAACGTCGCTTCCCTGCTCGCCTACGGAAGGATGGTAGGCACTCGGATTCCCTTCATGATAAAGCTCACCAAACACCCGAGGCTCCCTCCCGAAGACTAGAGCAACAGGTGCCCATCCATGTTCGCGGACAAGACAGTTCTTTGCCCAAGCAACTTCTCTCGAAAGCTTACGCATGTCTTCCCTACCGATCGGACTAGTCTGTCGGATAGTCGCGAACATCATATCTTTGATCGTTTGGTTATGACGTTCAATCTTCCCGGCCTGGAAATGAGCAGTTCCTGCAATGGAAGAGAGACTGCTGCCCGCTTGGGTAACCTGAGTCCAGAACTCGTGTCCTACGAATCCTCCTTCCAGGTCGGTGGTCACCCGCATGGGTGGCCCAGCCCATTTACACCATCCCCTGTCGAAAGCTCGATGAAGTTCCAGAGGACTGTGATCCCTAAGAAGCTCCAAAACATGGAATGAAGTCGCTCTGTCAAGGACACTAAGGAACCAGTGATTCTCCTTGTTCGCATCTCGAATGCACACACAATCCAGCTGAACCTCATCTCCAAAAGCAAGCTGGCAAGGAGGAATGTTCGTTGTACGGTGTGTGCTAGGTCGTCGAGCATGAGCGCAGGTAATACAACGCATCCAATTAACTGCCTCCACGACTTCCTGACGAGCACCGCCTAACTTGAGAAATCTTGCCAAGTCCTCCTTGCTGGGATGGCCTAAATTACAATGCGCCTTTATCAGGCCTTGGCGAATTGCCTCACTGAGGCGCCTTCCCACTGGCACCTCGAAACTTATCCCGTGACTTGCAAGTTTGGCCTTGACATGTTGGTGAGGCACCTCGGACGTTCCCGCCTGATCTTCCATATGATGATCTCTCTGATCACCATGGGGCTCCTCCAGGTCGGGAATGAGCTCTTCATCACCATCATCTTCATCCATCGCATCACCCTGAGCGAACACAGCACTCCATTGCTTAAGCACTCTCGCGATATTTTTCTCGTTCCATCGGAGCTCGTGGATGTCGGAGTCTCCGTGATGGACCTTGCGTCTGATCCTCGCCGACACACTTCGGAGCATCCGTCGAATCCTGCCTGGATCCACGTCTCGCAAATAAGTAGCGTAGCCTCGACATATGGCCCTTGCGATGTCCCGTCGAAGCGTGTCAGCTGATTCCCTGCGATTGCATTCGTGCTGTGACTGAGTCAGCTTGCCAAGTTCATCTGCGATCCTGACACAATTGGTTGCCCACACGCATGTGCCACCCTGAGGCTGGTGTCCTGGAACAACATGTGTGTTAGGATGCTTACAAATAATGGGTCCTAGGCTATCCCCAGTCTCGACATTCTTGCCTGGCAAGTCGATCAAAAATTGATCATTCCGACCCATCTGTCTTTCGAGAACATGATGAACAAACTCTCGGAGGCCACTCAATCTCTCACTCGCTTTACGTTCTCTTCTTTGAGCCTGTGACCTGTTCACACCTGACCGATTCGGCTCATGTTGGATATTCCGACAGTATCCATGAAGAACAACAAGCCGAGGGCACGTGTTCTCGATCCAATTAGATAGCGCTTCCCGGTTCCGCGGATCACTCAGGTCACTGGACAACTCCACAGGCTTCACAGTACACCAACCCCAACGAGAGAAGGATTGAGTAACATATGGTTGTCCATTCGACAATTCAACAATGTCCGGTCGTACCCGGGAAGCAAACGGCATTGCTTCCTGAGCCGCGCCTGCCAACGCGGTTGATGCAATGAACACTCCAGCGATCATCGCCCGAGCATTCCCAAGCAGCCTCTTAGCAACACCCTTCTTCAAGTGGGCCCTCCGAGCATTACCATCAAGAACCCTCTTCCTAATCTCATCTTTGCTCAAAGGCTGCTTGGCTGGATTGCATGCAGTCTCAGATGCACCACCGTTCTCACATGCCATCACGGCATCTACTCCTTGCTGGGGTAGCCCGAGCCCTTGCCAATCTTGGTGGCCTGAGCCTTCTTCTGAACTCGCATCTGCTGGATCAGCTCGGCCTCCTCCGGCGTCAAGTTGGTGTTGATCTTGGGCTCGCCGCTCTCGTCCTGGGACGACTCCGTGTCGTGGTCGATCTTGATCGGTCCGGTCTTCACCCATGAGCCATCCGAAGAGGCCTGTGCGCCGCCTTGGTCCTCCTTGGCCCGCCTGGGCTTTGGCCGCTCCCGATGCATGAGAGGCTTGCCCCTCTCCTGGTTGATCATGTCCTGCTTGGCTTTGGCCTGGAGCTCCTCCTGCACCTGTTTCGTGGCCCTTCCATCGTACAGGTACGGGAGGGTCGTCTTGCAAACGGGGAACCGTCTGCAACCCCAGAACGGTTCTTTCGTCAACCGATTGGTTCTCTCGATCATCGGGATATGGCAGAGGGTACAGAGTGGTCCCAGTGCTGTCATCTCCAAGTCGCGGTCCATCTGGGTAGCCTCTGCAGCGTCCGCTGCCCACATCTCGATCTGCATGATCACTTGGCTGCGGGACCATCGAGCCCAGTGATGATCCTGGTCCCTTCCAAGGTCGTCGACCACGCGGCTCGAGTAGAGCTCCCGAAGTCCTTGCAAGTCCAACTTCCTCCAGAGCGGGCAGAACCGAGCTCTGACGAGGTGGCTTCACAGCACTCCACAACTCCCTCAAGCGATCGAGAGTGTGTGCCCTGAGCTCTGTCGGCGACACCTTGCACCGACTCGCAACCGCCATGACATACTCTTCCTTCTTCTTGGGTGCCAAGATCGTCGCCATGCTCAGTCCCAGGAAGAGGCTGCAAACCGCAATCTAACTTGTCACAACTTGATCGTTGTCGCTGCGGAGTTTGACTCATTGCTTCATCTGCATCATCCACATCCATGTCATCACAACTTTGCTGCGGCTCTTGGTGATTTGACGACATGAATGTAACATGCCGCTTCTCCCCAAAGGTCCTGGAAGCCGCCGCTCTTCGAATTGGAAATTTGAGCTTCTCCAAAGCTCTCATAGTGTCTGAATCGACCTGGGCCGCCGTTCTTGTGGTGTAAACTGACAAACACCACCTTTCTCCTTCCCACTCATGTGTGGCATGCGGAATATGAGGACTGAGCTGGGTGGGACGTTGATACGTCTCAATGAGTCTCCCCTTCATCCACTCTCCATCCTTGCTCTGTTTCCACACACATGCATCTGACTCAACCCCTGCACTTGCCACCCACAATTGGCCTCCTGTGAAGTTGCCGAACGTGCACGTCGTGGTAGATGTGTCCTTGCGATTGTGGGAGTCAACATGGATATCGGTGGAGACGTTTTTCAGGAGGGCCAGTGATGTCCATGAAGCATCAGTGTGACTTCTCATGAACATGTTCAAGTAACGCACGACATTGGGGTACCGAGTAGTCCGCTTAGTCACACCTGTCCAGCCTCCATGGGAATATAGCCCTGCCACCCATGCTTCATTTCCCCGTCCTGGCCCATCGTTGATGTCCCGATGGCGCTTCGAATGCCGGATGGGCAACGACCTCGCCAACTGTAGAAGGGCTTCAGAGCTGAAGTTGTTGTCGCGATACAGTTTGCGGGCTAATTCTTCACACCACCTGACACTCTCTCTGGTAGCTCGCACCTTCTGAGTGGTCTGGTCGGAGCACGCCGACCCTTGGACCGGATTGGTCTGGTCGGAGCAAGCCGACCCTTGGACCACGCAAACCTGCTCATCGATGTGTTGGGAATCGATGAAAATCTCTCTCTCATCATTTACGAGCTCATGTGGAGGATGATCCAGCCTTCTTCCGGTAGGCTCGTTGTTGATCTGGAACCCACATAAACCCGCTTTGGTCTCCCTGAGTGGAACTTTTGTGTGCAAATTGTTAAACTCAACTGTCCCTCTCTCCAAGTCCATGACCATCCCCATCTGCTTCAAGACGGCTTTGCTCAACAAGAGAGGAATCTCCTGGTCAACAACGCTCACCCGAATGGTAGCCGCCCTCTTCGAGCCCTCAAGTTGAATCGGCATGATCACCGCATGTGTCGAGGAAATCCCCGGGCCTCCGCCGAACCGAAATGGTCGAGCCTCGTCGACAGTGAAAACCGATTCTCCCCGCTGTCGAAGGAGAGCCACATGTCTCTCGATCCATCGAAGCCCTGCCACCGTCCTCGCGCAACACGTATCACTAAGAGCGAGAGTCTCTCGCCGAGGTTCCCCGCTGGATGCTACATGTACGTTTGCACACACCTCTGCACATGGGGCCTGGTCTTCATCACTTCCCTCATGAGCTGCTGAGGTGGCCAGGTAGACATTCGATGGGAGCACCAAATCATCATCCTCACTGTCGCTTAACTCTTCGTTGACCACCGCAAGCACGCGACTGCCGTCCTGACTGTTCTTCTTGGTGTTATAGGGGCACTCCGCGTCGCTGTGCCAGTGGCCAAAAACGGTCTTGCCGTGTGCACGACACGCGCTACAAGCCATCCGTGACTTCATCTCCTTTATTCTAGATTCCCTGGCCTGTCCAGATTCTCCTCGAGAGAATCCTCGAGCTTTCTCTATTTCCGCTCGTTTGCGAGCGGCCTGCGTCAAAAGCACTTCCAACTCACCCTCCAACTCCTCCGGATGGGCCTGCTCGACTTCCTCGTCCTCGCCATCTTCTCGATCTTGATCGTCCTCGGTGGTTGCATTCACTTGACGAGGATTACCGCCTTTGCCCTTCCACTGTCGAAAGGGTGTCCTGGTCGTACTCGCCGGCTCTTCATCACGTCTGACTTTCGGCACTATAGCCATCAGGGCCTTCCGAAGCTTGGCATAGTCATACTCGCCCCCCGATGCTGATATAACTTGTTTGCGAAGATCACTAGAAAGACTGGCCTTCTCCAAGAACCAGTACGCCTTCGTGAGGCCCTCCAGCTTGGCGCCAATGTCCTCCAGGCGCTTCAGGTGGGTACGAAACTCCATGTCGTAGGCGACAAACTCTTGCCCCGCGGTCCTCTTGAAATCCCGATAGAACTCCGTCAAGGTGCTGAACACGCGAAGATGCTCGAGGGGCTCCAGCTCCTGATAAAGGTGCTTGAGGAGTCTCTGAACTCCCTGTTCATGTTTCAAATCCTGAAGCTCCAAGCCCTCGGTCTCCGTCCATGCCGCCCCGGACAAACGCTCCATGAGCTTCTGGGCCCTGTAGCAAGGGTCGATCCCCGTGGCACTTTCAAACAAACGAACACGCCGTTCATAATCACGCATAGGGGCCTTTCCATCGTACTCTGGGACGTGGTCCTTGCCAGTCTTCGGATTGACCTTAGACTGGCTGCCCGCATCACTAGACTCTTTGGTGTCCTCAGCCGCCTCTGCTGACAAGTCGTCTGTCACCGTCGTAGACTGAAAAGAAGCCCGGCGACGGCCTTGCTCGTCCGGAGCTTCCTGCTGCGGTGGGGCATCTCGTGCCCGCTCTTGCACATCATCGCCATCGGGCCAAGAATAGCCTGGCCAGCTGGACTGCCGACCGGAATAACCATAAGCCCAGTTATTCATAGGCCGTCTCTCCCATTGGCCTCGCCACCATGACCCCTGCCAATCATCTGGCGCCCACTGCCCTGAACCTGCCCGGTCCGTAATTGCACTAGTATCCCAGGATGACCAGTACCATGAAGAGCCTTGCCACGCTTCACGAGATGGTGGCCGAGCTCCGGCACCATCGTCATTGCCGCCATCAGCAGCAGCCGCATCTGCCACGCCTGTGCCAGACATGTTCTGCGCCTGCCCTGCTCCGCGCAACCAAATGCAAAAGGCTGGCTTAACGCAACGC